AAGATAAGGATTAGCATTTAAAGTCAACAAAACAGAATTACTTGCAGAACCTTAAGTGCTCGGATGAGGTGGTGGCATCCCCCTGCGGCCAAGCCTGCCGCTGACAGTAGCCAAAAACTGGTTGTGCTGGTTGTTGCGCAGCGTACGACTGTTGTCCTCCTCTGGTGCAGCCACGGCCTCCCGTGGCCGCCTCGATCGCCTCCGCCGTGGTAAAACTGCCCTTGCGGTTGTTGGTCGGCGATACCGGCATCCACAAATGTTTGGTGGCCAATCAATGATTCCTGTTGTCGTTGATAAAGAACACGCTGCTCTTGTTCCAGCAGATGAGGATGTAGTATGAAGACACTAAATTCGTTGTGTGCCTCAACATAAATTCAATACTAGCACTAATATGTAGTATAGTGTAGTAGAGTTCGTATCCACAGGGAAAAAATACATTTCTTTCATGTATTAGTAATTAAAAGGGGGGTTTGGGATTGTTTGATTTGATTTAATTAAACACTAAGATGAATGACTTATATGTATTTTAATTCAAGAGATACAGAACTTGGTTTTGCTACTTTCCACTTGTTGATATGTTTGTTGATCCCGATTATATCTATAACTTATCCTCTCTTGAATACTCAATTGAGGAGTATCTCTGATTCATCGAGTGTAGTTATTAATAATGACCGTTCATTAACAACTCTTACTATTAGCCAAATATAGAACAACGTCGTATACCGAGTTAATAGCATTTAATCTTTCTTTTTTTTTTTACTCCAGGGAGTCTGGGAAAGGGGGGCTAGGGGGAGCCTGAAGTAATTAGGCCTGAAACTCACTCCATTGAGTTTCAAACTCTTATGTGCCTAGCGGATTTCGAATTGGAGACCTCCCACTAGGCACGATAACCTCACAACCAGCTGGGCTGGAATGCTTGGTTAGCATTTAATCTTTTTTAACTACTTTATGAAATCAATTGAGATTGATAACCTCAACACAAATGCTTCGGTTTAACCAACAAAATTGACCCTTCTTAAGTTTATATACCACGACCGTGCATTAATAAACCAAAGTTACTTACTTGTAAAATCATCAACGATTAACCATTGGTTCGTTGATCGTTCCTAGTAATAATTAATGTTGATATGTTAACTAATTGTCATTTAGCAACACTCCCCATCATTAATATAAAAATAAGATTAAGGGAGGAATTAATATTCAAGGGAAGAAGTAAGAAAATAACTCACAACTTTAACATTCAACAAGCTTCAAGAGCAAAACCAAGAAATAGAAGTTTAGCTCCTCATTTGGAGACTAAAAAAGTAAGAAAATATAAAGAAATTACTATTTCAAGTAGATCTTAAGTATATGTGAAGGAAAATTGTGCTATATATAGGTGTTTTCAGCACCTTGCGCCGGATACCCGATCGGGTAAATGTACATGCCTGACTGGGTATCGGTCAAAATCAAATACTCCGTATTTCTCATGTCTTTGTGTTCTTCAGCACGTTTATTTGTCCGAGTCAAGTCATACCCGACCGGGTAAAGTACCATACCCGACCGGGTATGTGTGCAATTTCCCAGCAGCTTCTGTTTTCAACTCATACCCGACCGGTGAAACCATCGCAGCCTCCGTAACTGCAGCCATCACCGCTGAAACCTCCTCCTCCGCTGCTCTGTCCACCAAAACTACCCCATTGAGAGGGGTCATACCATGATGGATGTTGAACCGGGATCGGTCTAGAAGCAAAGTGCCCCTGATGATCTATATAAGCGTATATGGGTGCCAAGGCCCTGAGGTTGTCTTCTTCAATTCAACTGGCCCGTAGGTTCAGGTTGTGGAGTCCGTCCATAAGAACACGCCGGTTCTCAAGTACCCGTGTCTGAAAATTGTCGTATTGGGGGGAGGGGGTTCTTCTTCTTCTTCTTCTTCTTCTTCTTCTTCTTCTTCTTCTTCTTCTTCTTCTTCCTCCTCTTCTTCCTCCTCTTCTTCTTCCTCTTCCTCCTCCTCCTCCTCCTCCTCCTCCTCTTCTTCTTGGCCTTGATTTGCTGGGGCGGCGTATTGGGTGGGATGGCTGGTGCTAAGCAAAAGTGTCCCTCATCTCCTGGGTAAGAGCTGAATGTGATCAAGGTTTTAAATAGCCGTAGCGGCAGCGGTAGCGGTCATCGCGGTAGCGGCCTGTAGCAGACTGTAACGATTGCAGCGGCGTGAAATATTTTCAATTGCGCAAAACATATATTTAATGAGTGTTGAATTTAATACAAACATTGTGAATATTTGTTTGAACACTTATAAAATTAAGAGTTCATTTACACAACATAGACACATTTACACATCAACCCGTTCGTGACGTACTGCCAGAAATGTCAATAGCGGGCTGTAACGGGCGGCGTAGCGGGTTTTTCCCGTGATTTGGAATTCACATCGGAATAGCGGGCCGTAGCGGTAGCGGCCCCTACCGCGACCGCTATATAGCGGCCGCTATAGCGGTAGTGGGCCACTATTCAAAACCCTGAATGTGATGAGGGGTAGATCGTCTAAGGGGATAGTAAAGTATTGTTCTGGCTTGGGGTAAACGATCTAGTGATAAAAATTCTTTTCATTTTGATCTTTATGCGCAAATTTGATGTCTTTTGCGGGTAGTAGGAAACCCATATTAAGCAAACAATCTTTGTGGATCGGTGAACCTTCATCGACGGCGAGTGGGTTGTGCCGTGAAGTGTGGGGCGGAGGATGAATCTCTCCTTCGATCACCTATTCGTGTTGTGTCTGGTGGTTGCTGCTACGTGGTACTCGGTGTGCTGGGATTTCTCAGATCAACTCCTTTATGGGCTGGTTGCAGAGAGTTTTTTCCAGCAGGGACAGGGAGGTCCGGAGGAGTTGCTTGGGGATGCTGGGTTTTGTGATCTGAAAGAAATAGAAGGGTGTGGCTCTTCGTTCAAAACAGTTTATGCATAAGGAGGGGAGCTTTGTGGCAAGTTGGGAGATGCTCAACGCTGGAGGCAACCAAAAGAGGGCTGCAGGTTGAAAGCTAATCTGTTGGCGGTCAAGGGCTCGATTTGGGCTGGGTGATCCGAGATGACGCTGGAAATTTTCCAGTATTTACAAGAAGGTAAGTCATTGTTCTCATTTGGAAGCAGAGCTCTTGGGTATATTTGGGAGGTGCTGCTGAGTTGGCAGAAAGGCATGGCATGGGTACAAGTATTAGGTGGAATTCAAAAGGGTACAAGTATTTCTTCCGGAGGATTCCTGGCAGAAGACATACGAGAATTGAGCCCGAGTTTTTTTAATATTTCATTTTCTTTTGTTAGACATTCAGCAAAAAGACTTGCTCATGCATTAGTTAAGGAACCATGTTTTTTTGTCTGATTGTCAGATTTGGTTGACTTCAATCCCGAGTTGTATTGAGAACATTCTGTCTAATGATTTGATTAATAATAATTAATTTTATTCCTTTCAAAAAAAGTTATGCATACTGATCTCATGCACCCAATAGTTAATTTAGTGGCTTCTCTGTTGTCACAACTCCATGTCAGTGATTGTGCATGATTGTTAAAATAAACCTTTAGTTTTACACACATTTCCCGCGTGATTGTGCATAGACCAATGATTGTTGAAGATCAAGTGGAACACTTACAATAGCTGTAATGGGCTGGTAATAGCATGGGGTGTTTTTGTGACGCTTTGAGAGCAAACATTGAAGCTTCGATATACCACACTTACCATATCCAAAATACCAAACTTACTGAAAATGTGGTAAATTGAAAATCGGTAAGTTGTGATACCACACTTAATTACTTTGATACAATAATATACTTTGTAAATACGGTTATACCCAAAGTCTGATTTAATAATTTCATTAAAATTTCTAAAATATTAGAAACACATTTGCTAAAGGATAAATGAATTTATATACATGATTTTTGGACCTTTTTTAGTTTTTCTTTGTTGGAGATTGCTATTATTTTATTTATATTTATCTTGTTTAAGTTATTTTTCGAAGAATGTTTTTAGTGTGTAATATGTTGAAATGTTGAAACATAATCATAATAATTAATACGTATTGTTCATTAATAGATAATTACTCGTATTTCACAAATGTTTTAATAATGATTTTAGTATATAATGAGTGACACTAAAGCAAAGTCTCTTTTTGAATAAATCATGGTAAAAATCGCGTCAAAAATTGCATGAATTGACCACTTCTTCATAACAAGGAAGCACAGACAATTTAACAAGTCATTTTATTTTATTTCATCATGTTCTCAAATAAAAAATAGTGAATCTTCGGCTCCTTTGCAAATGATGGAAAATATAAAAATTTACTAATACAACACCTTTACCATGTTTGTATACCGGAAGTTTCGGACTTTCGGTACGGGAAAGACATAGTATAAAATACCGAGACAAGAGTGCTATATATATCCCCTATTATGGAGATAATTTTGCGTTTGCTGGTGTTTTTTTAAAAACAAATTTCAACCACAAAGTTGTCCTTAATTAGATGTACGGTATAGTGCACACCCATGAGTGAGATCCAATAATGTTGTTTAATGAAAAGATACAGCCCTAAATCCTAATGCATAAGGCATGCTTTTATGTTTACAGATTCTTTAGAAGTCTTTGACAAATCTGAATCAAGAGAAGGCACTGTATGTTTTTCACACATGAAGACATGAAGTTGACACACTGAAAGAATATGTTTTACCTTCATTAATATACAGATTCTTTAGAAGTCATTGACAAATCTGAACCCAGAGAAGGCACTGTATGTTTTTCACACATGAAGTTGACACACTGAATGAATATGTTTTACCTTCATTAATATACACTCAACATTCTGCTATTGGAAAAGTAGATCCAATTTTATCTCCGATGTGATAGCATTTGATATTAACAGAGTAGGGCCCAAGCTCGATGCGGTTGTCTTCCCCTCCCACCAAGAAACACAGAGTATAGATCGCTAGTTCAAACTCTGGGCTCACTCCAACCAGAGTGCTTGACACAGATTTTAGTACGCCGTTCCATTCAAACTGGATTGTGAGTAACTGAGTCTCTGCATCAGGCTGTCATTGGAGATTTTGAGATTGAAAAAAAAACGCAGCCTTATTAATGCATGCTCCCTCCATTCTTTTCAACAGTTGCTTTAGATATTTGCACACATACTACCAAGGAATCAATAGAATCTCCTAAGAGTACAACACAACTAGTACACCCACTATTAATGTCTAACTATAACGACACCGTATATAACATTTATGGATGGAGAAAGGTAATGGCGTAAAATGATCCATTCATGCAATTTTAATATGCTGCAACGACGATTACTTGAGAATATTCCTTTTCTTCTCAAAAAAATACATTTGAGAACAAATTCTTTCCCATCACAAACGTGATGGTTAAAAGAGAACGAATAGACATAAATTTTCTCGGTTTGAAATCTCCCGGGCTAAACTTCCTTTCATCACCTAGTTATTTTTTTAAAACACCTAGTTCATCACCTGTCCAAGTGACCAAGTCCCACTTAACCCTGTGCATACCCCCTCCCCTCTATGCTCTAGACATCAGTCTTGTTTTAGAACAGTGATATGTTGTACTACACTATCATGTGACATGATCTTTGTTGGATATTATATAACTAATTTTGCAATGAGACACGACTAGACTTTTGCAGTTAACTCTCTGAACTCAATGCGGCCAGAGGGTGTTTCCATACAAGCAGAATGAACATATGTTGATGGCATTTTTGTAGTTTTTTTGCATTACTACTTCAGGACAATGCAGAAAGGGCAACTGGTGTAAAACAATATGCGCTATTTTATGATGGTGTCTCCAACATTGTTGGAATTCAGCCGCAGTGGTGATCAGAAAGTAATAGCTTTTTTCCTAGATTCGTATCATGTTGAGCCAATATTCTAAATCATATGCTTTAACTATATGCTGGAGCTATTATTTGTTAGTTTGCCTGATTTATTTTAATTCATATGACCTTAATCACAGGGAAAGGCTATGTGGCAGCAAGTAATTGTACTTCATTTTTTAATTAAAAATGAAGAAGTTCAAAGTCCACGTTGGGAGATCATGTTTCATGACTTTCATCTAAGCGCCTCTTTGGATCGAGGGTTTTTGGAGGGTTGGTATGGAAATGTTTTAGAGACCTTATTCTACATCTCGAAATACATTTGAGGTTTTTATACAAAAGAATGATATTCTATGTGACATTTCAATCACATTTTATTCGTTTTAAGGTATATTTCATTTATCAAGAGACAGACTAATCAGTCGAAAGTCCTCTCCGCCACAACCCTTCATCCAAACAGAAACATGGAAGGGATATTGGAAATCCTGGTTTCCAGTAGAAACTCACTACATCGCAGATTGAAACATTTAGAAAAAGATCACCTACGATTTCTCCCCGCCTTCGAGGAAAGATGTATCCTTGATAATCTACGTTGCCCTTCAATTCTTCCAGATAAAACTGAAAGTAACAGAAGAAATACGGTTGGTCCCCATTTATATACAGAGAGAATATGGTTTCCAATAGAGGTTGGATCACCACTTATTCTGAGAGAGAGATGAATACCGTTGGAGTCATAGTAACAGTGGAATTTTTTAATTTTACCTGAAGCCAATTATGGAAACCTGAAACTTCTCCCTCTCCACGCTCCTTTATTTCTCCAACAAAAACATGTTCGAAAGCGGAAGAAGAGCCAGATGTACCGCCTCGGGCATAAAGGTCAAACCAGAGACTCTTCAACATTCTCTTGAACTCCTGATGACTTTCAGAAACCACACTCTTTGCTGACAGATAGTTATGCAAATATTTTATAGGTGCTGTTCTACTGATCTCCTCAATGAATGCCAACTGCTCTTGGTGTTCTTTAGTTGTTACAACTTCTTTATATCCCTCACGTGGATTGTAATTATCCAAGAGACAACAAAACCGAGAATAAGTGGGCTTCTCCATAACATCTTTCCTCATCCAGGAAAACAAACACCCATCCGCCATGTCCTCTCTTTGGTGGACCTTTTTTCCATCCCCTACATCAATCTGGTAATCTTTTCCAGGAACTAAACGATTTAAATCTAGTTCCCAGAGTTTGTTACAAGCTTTTGATATGTTGGCAAGCTCTTCTCCTGATGGATTCATGTCAGCACCACATTCAACCTCGTCAGAGTAGTCTTGCTCAACAGCAGGCTTCTTGTAACTATCCCAGTGATGCATATGCACCTGTTTGGGAACATTGAAGTTTCATGAGACTCATGAGAGATTAGAAGTAAATGGAATTATCTAAAGTAAGTGTATTTTATACTACTAAAGTTTGAGAACTCGTTACCAATGAACATTTTATATGCTAAAGCATCTTATATAAGCAGTTGTGCTCCCCAAAAAAGCATCACTATGCAAATACCATTACTAAACTTGAGATACAACAACAACAATAACATTATCCCATGATGAAAATTGCGCAAACAGTTTCGTGAGACTGTTTCTGGATGACCCGTGATGAAAATCGCATCGAAATTTGCATGGACTGACTGATGTTTCATAACCAAGAAGCGCACACAGTTCAGTGAGCCATTTTGAATTATTCCATCATATTCCCAAGCTAAAAAATAGTTAGTCTTTGGCTCCATTGGAAATGATGGAATAATTACCAAACTTGAGATAGATCCAAAAAATTGTTTAACCATTTATAGTGACTCGAATTAATAGCTTAATACTTTATTGCCTATAAAGCTTCATTTGTTCGGTAAGAAGAACTCTATATAGCTGGGCATCAATTAAGAAATGCAAACAGTATGCATCATGGTTATTCCTATAAAAGATTCACATTGGATATTCCAAGCCAATTTTTTTGGCTCTGCAGACATTTTTTAAATTGTGAAACATTAATTTTACCCGGAATATGTACTCAGGGAGTCAGGGTGTTGATTCTATTTCTGAGGAGTGAGGTCTTAGACCCAAACCCGTTCGGTACGGTCCATTTTCAAACGGGACGGTACCATGCCATACCAATACCAAACAATGCCACTTTTTCCAGGTGTTTAAGAAAAAATTAAAGTTTAGCCATCCTCCAAAAATCTACACAATTTATCAATTTTTATATACGTAGTATCATACTACCTTCGTTCCAAATTGATTTGCAAAGTCAATCTTTTTTTGGTCAAACAATTTCTTTTTATTCACTTAATTAGAATTTCAATTACATTCTAATTTGGCCTTTCAATTACATTCTAATTTGGCCTTTCAAAAAAACTACTCCGTACTTCGTATATTTTAATTTGGATTTTACAACTTTAGAGAGATTTTAATGTGGTTTCTAAATATGTAAATTTTAATTATTACAAATTGTATTAACTATCAAGAACTTAACATTAACTTTGTCAAAAAAATGTTGGTTTTGCAAATCAATTTGGGACGGATGAGGTAATTAATATATTTTAGATAAACTATAGTAGTACAAATTTAATAAACCATACTTCGGTCCGGTTCGGTCCGGTACCGGTTCTCATTTTATGAGAACCGGTCATGGCATTGTTTGGAACCGGTTCGGTCCGGTTCGGGACAAAAATTTTGAGATCCGTTTCAAACCCCATTTATCGGTCCGGTACCATACCGGTCCGGTTCGGTATCATGCCGGTTCGGTATTTTTGCTCATCCCTAGAAAATTTAATATTAAAAAAAGCAATCACTTTAATATGTGATGTTAAACAACATGTTTAAATACAAATGTTAGAAAATATGTATTTTGGCTATGTTGCATATTTTTGGAATTTCTTTAATTGTTTTAAACTTATATACAAGAAATTATGGAGTATTGGACTTTTCGCTTGTGTTATATGTGCAGTACTATGTTGTTATTTTGAAACTTGCTAATGTCCTATATAATTGATTATTGATTTTTGGAACTTCGTGAGTTTTTACTAATTTCAAGACATGACAATAGAAGCCGTAAAACCCGGACCGGACCGACCCGTTTCAAACGGGCCGGGTAATTTCCGGTTCCTATTTTGAAAATTGTAATACCCGGACCGGACCGAACCGTACAATGAAACCGGCGGTTCCATTTTATTTTGCATTATCCGCCCCGACGCGGCCCGTGCCCAGCCCTAATTGCATCAATCAGAGTCGCATGTTAGTCCAAGTCATTTAGGATTTAAAAGAATTAGTTTAACTGTTTAACTCACGTACAACTGAGGCCCTAATTAATTTGGGCCTATCCAAAATTTCCAAAAAACGCCAAACTATGGCGCAGGCGCAGAACGGGTGGGTGACCGTAAAATACACCGTACAGCCGGCTGTACCGTGCGCACGGTACAGCCGGCGTTTTCTTTCCTTTGCGCGCTACCTTCTCCTTCTTCGATCTGCCTACCCTAGCCGTCGATCTGCTTCGCTACCCTCGCCGGCCGCTTGCTCGATCGCTCCCTTCCTTATTCACTGGTGCTCGTCACTCGTTGTCGCAGACCACAACTCGATGGATGAATAGGGCTGCTTGCCTGTGATGTTTCTTTTCTTGAACTCTTTTCGTTTAGGTTTTTTTACTAGGTTTAGGTTCAATGATTTTGGTAATTTGTTTGGATTTAAGTCACGAGAAATATTAGCTATACGTAGTTGTACATATATGAACATATACAAAAGAAATTTTGAGCATACTGCACATTTTAAATGAGTTTTTTTATTTTTTGAATGCTCATTTTGTAACTAATGTGTACTCATTTAATATTAGTGATCTCAAATGAGCTATATATTAAACTCAAATGAGTATACACTTAAAAAAAATGAACATACATAAATGAATATTGAACAAATTAGAAATGAGTTTTATGTTAAACTTAAATGAGTATAATGCCCAAAATGAATGAACACACAAATGTGTTTTTAATTTTTTTATACTCATATTGTAAGTAATTTATGCTCATGTGGTACTATTTTATACTCATTTTAAAAGGTTTCACATATCAAATACAACGCCCAAAATTAATGAGCATACACAAATGAGTTTTTGAATTTTCTTATACTCATTTTGTGAATCATGTATGCTCATTTCGTACTGGTTTATGCTCATTTTAAAATGATGCACATATCAAACATATCATATTACATTACATTCACATTGAAATTTATTATAAACATAATTTAAGAAGATTTTATAAACGAAAAATTGTAAAAATAAACCAAATTAGAAGATATGAAGCCGGGATCACTAGTGCTCATTGTTAGGCTGCTATTACTCAGAAGAACAGAGTCGATGCTCATTTAAATTACATCAATACTCATTTAAGAGAAATCGTGAACTTCATCAGAATTACAAAATTGCCACCGGCTGTACGGTGCCCAGCCGTACAGCCGGCTGTATGGTATACGCTTCCGGTGGGTGACACCTCTCGACCAAGGTTGTTGATTTACGATTCAAGAACACCCAATCAAGATAGTAATACGACTAAATCAGGCCCAACACACGTCTATCAGACCCACAACAAACCATAGGCGTTGTTGTTGCTGGTATGTGAGTAGAAGAAGGTCGTTATTTTTGAAGAGTATTGAGAGGAGTAAATTGAGAAGAAGAAGAATAAAATAAAATCTCACAAAGGTAAAAACTTCCGCCACCATTGCAGCATGGTTTCAAACTCACACCTAAACTTTCCAATGACCTTCGCTGTACCAACTCATCAGCTATAGACATTGTGAATCAAGGAACTATTAATTAACTTTAGAGTTGGTCTTAGGTGTACACACCACTTTTTGGTATACACACTTTTACCAATGACGGAGCCAAAGGTTTGTCCAATGGGGGCATACCAAAAACTAAATTTTTTAAAGTGCGTGTTCAAAATAAAATAAGAACAACAATAGCGTAATAATTAAATTAGCACAAAATTATACTATGTAGTTCATACATACCACTTGATTTTTTTCTGCAACCAAACCAATCCTACGAGTTTTCATATTTTGAAAATGCTGCATAATAGCTTCGTTATCGATTGCTTGAAAAATGTCTCTTTCCATGTAGCATACTAAGGGAGTGTTTGCAACTGCTTAAAAAAAAGCACTTCTCAGCTTTTGGCTTTAAAAAACACTTATTTACCAAACACTACCAATTTTTACTTTTTCTCGGCTTGCGTGTGAAAAGTGCTTTTCCCTTTTCTATTACACAAAAAGCACTTATTTTACCAATCACTACCAACTTTTACTTTTCAAAATCACTTTTTTCTCAAACACTATCAACTTTTACTACTAATCACTTTTTCCTTACATCTCCAAAAGTGCTTTTTTTTAAGCAGAAGCAGTTGCAAACACTCCCTAAGCAATCCACTAACAAAAATCGTTGGAGTCCAAGGCTGCCAATGTGCCTCTTTTTCTTAACTAAACATTACATTATTTCGAATTTGGATCCTCTCCGGTGATCGGAGAGTTCCATTAGGAGAGATATAGAGAGGAGAAAATTAAAGGTGGGGTATGTTGGTGAGTAGGATAAAGAAAAAGGTAGAGGTAGACGGGAAGTAAAAAACAAATGGAAGAGAGATGGAGAGAAAGAAATGGAGAGGAGTTGAACCCAAATTTTTAATCTGGTCAATTATTCCCTCTTTTATTTTATAATTCATGTACACTAAGAATTTTAAACGAATTGTCTGTGTACAGGCAACTAAGAGTGTTTTGTGTACAATTTGTGTACAACTCATGTACACTAAGAATTTTCATATTGACATTGCACTTGAATTGCATTATTATGGATATCATAGAACGAGAATAGTAGATTCCAAATATTATACTCCCCCCGTCTCATTGAACTTTGCCAAATTTCCATTTTTTGTTGTCCCAAAAAATTTTACCACTTTCCTATTAAAGCAACTAGTTTGTGGTTCTACACATTTCTCTCTACTCTGCACAATTCTCAACTACATAGTTTTTACTATTCTTATTTATCACCTACTTTGCAAAGTCCAGCGGGACGGAGGTAGTAATATAGAGCAAATTGATAGTCATGTCATGTATCTACATTTTAGAACATTGGCTTAAACAATAAGAAATCATTTCAAAAAAAACAAGACAAGATGATCGATGCGAAAGACACAGTAAAGAGGCAATTAATTATGGTAAGAATGAATGAATACCGGTGCTGGAAATCCTTGCATACGGCCACTGTTAATCTCATCACTGTGCTGTTCCCCTGATACCACCTGCGCAAGTTAGCACCCATAAGAAAACAGGATGAGATCAGAAATAGCGGAGCAGAACTGACCTGCGCCCAAGTGGATCTGGATCGCTCGTCGCCTGAGTTGCTACCATCGCGTCTGTGCTCATCTTCGTTGCCTAAGGCAATATCAATTAAACCCTTCACTAGGCCTTCCATTCCTATGCTATGCAGCGGATCGGAGATCTTTAAGATATAAAGGAATGAATCCAGTTGAAATTGGTTGTCAATGGTCACATAGAAACCAGGTAGGTACTGACAGTTGGTGGAGTATTAATTAGGGATAATTACTATTAGTCTTGAGGTTATGTCATAATTATGAAGGAAACCTTGCATTTTCAAAAATCAATTAGTTACCCCTTGAGTTTGGATCATTCTCATTCTCTGCCCCTCACGTTAATATTTGTTAAATCAAATTTAATATAACTCTGGTATATTCAATGAAAATTGTTTATAAAATTAATTTTTAAATTAAAACACAAATTATTATCATATTTATAATTCATTATTGTTGATCATTATGTTTCTACTTAACTACTCCATCGTGGAATAGATATTATTGAGAGTAGTTAAGGGGAAAATACTCACAAGTACTATGCAAGATACAAAATATCATGAATCTTGATATTTCTATTTTAGAAAATTAAATATCATTCAATCTTATAAAACTAATTGACCTTTTACTGTAAAAAAAAATTGTGAGGATAGAATCATCACAAATTAGTAACAAGGTAAATAAAACATTTAAATAAATCAAAATCCATGTTATTTTAGGTCTTAGGTTAATAGCTTTCAATTATTTAGTTCATATACCGATACATTCTATATTTTAGGTCGCTTATTGATGCTTGACCTATCTTTTAGGTCATGAAATGATGAAATTCCTTTTTTCTTGATATTTCTTCTTTGCTACACATGAAAGAAATGTCATTGAGAATAATTCAATCGGATGAATTTCAAATACTTTTATATTCATGATGAATAAGTGCCTATAATTTTGACAACACATTTTTGAAATAACTTTCTTTGATGTATCCCATGAATATTACTCGTGAATCTTCTCCTTAACTACTCACATTAATAGTTATTCCACGATCGAGTAACTAAGTAAAAAAATAATGATCAACAACAATGACTTATAATTATGATAATAAATTATGTTATACTTTAGAAATTAATTTATAGACAACTTACATTGTATTTAAGAGTTATATTTAATTTAATTTAACAAATATTAACATGAGAGGGCATATAGTGAGAATGACGTACCAAAGCTCAAGGGGTAATCAATTGAATTTTGAAAATGCAAGGTTGCAATAATAATTATGATATAACCTTGGGGGGGCTAATAGTAATTTTTCCTATTAATTAACTCCTCTTTCCCTTGGTTTGACAATTTTTGTCTCAAAAAAATCGTATTTTTTTATTCTATGTGTCAATCAAAATTGAGAAACTTTTAGTTGAGGGGTATAAGTAATTAAAACTTGCTTCATTAGATTTAGCAAAAAATAAAAAATAAAAAATAAAAAAACTTTGACATTTTTCCCTTATACTCCATGTGTCCTAGAAAGAATTTAGTTTGCTTTTGACACAATATTTTAAGAAATAGATGAACAAATATCATGTATACCGGTGCTAACCCCTAGGCCTTTCTCGTTTCAACTGAACCCAGACCACCCCATCTACACTCTTAAAATCTGAGAAAAAAGGTGATGTTTCTTCTTCTAAACCAAGACCGTCCCCCATTCTTCTGCTGAGCCAAGACCTCCCCCCATTATCCAATCTCTCTAGATCAGTGTATGTCATTTCCAAGATCTCTCTGTCCCTTGATATTGAAAGAGGAGAAATTCTCTATGGAAATCCAGATTTGATGAGTCAGGAAGGGTCGGTATCTCACAAATCTCGACGCCTTTAATTTCATTCCCCTGTCCACACCTACACCTCCGAAGAATGCGTCCAGCAGCTCACCATTAACGTCGGCTTCTATAGGGGGGGCAGATGAAGGATTGTATCTCAGTTCACTGATAAACTGGGACATCTGATTAGTGAACCATTCTTATGGATTGGTGATGGATCAAGAGAGTCATCGTATTACAGTCGCAGCTCCAGGCCTGGCAGCGGGTGTTGGGGTAGTCGGTCGGTAATTTGTGTTACCCAATACACCGTAAAATGTAAAATGGGAATGGATAGGGAAGAGTTGTCAAGGGTAATTAGGTCAATTGATATGAAATACTCAACACTTAATTTCTTCCTCGCTAAGCATTTCCAACAAAAAGTTGCCAAAAATAGAAACGTAAAGATTTAAATGGGGCGTCCCAAAAAGGAAAATGTATGGGACGGAGGAAGTAGTAAATAATTTGTGGTTTTCACTATGCACAATTCTAAACTATGCAATTTTCACTTTTCTTATTTCACACTTAACACAAATTTGGTAATCTTCAATTGGATGAAAGTAATAATAAGCATTTGTTGTCTAACACTGACCAATATCTAAGACTGACTGAAGTACGATTGTTAACAAACAAGCTTCTTTTGAATGATTTGAACTCGAGCTCGACTTTGAATCTAACTAGCCGGATTTAATGAGATTTTATCTCGAACATGGGCTAGGTTTTAACTTTGAATACTTATTCAGTTCTACTACGTATAAAATTGCAGAAACAATTCCACTTTTGGTCCTACGAGTTTTGTATCAATTCCACCTTTAGTCCACGTCTTTCACTTTATCCACTTTTGGTACTTGACTAATGTTTTTTAACCGTTTGTGGTCCTTTTCCGGCGATTTTAACCATCAGAAATCATGCCGGTAGGACCATATATGGACGAAAACCAAAGTCATGTATCAAAAGTGGACAAAGTGAAAGATGTGGACTAAATATGAAATTGATTTAAAACTCGTAGGACCAAAAGTGGAATTTATTCAAAATTGCATCCCAAAACTGCGTTTTTTAATTATCCATCAATATATCTAGTCATCTCCTTCATTGATTCTTTATTTTTCTTTTCTATTTCAATTATCTTTTTCTTCAAATTATGGAAAATCTTCTTCTTCTTCAACTTAAATTAAGAAGGGAAAATATCGCAAAGAGACTTAAAAGGAAAACAATATCACTTTTTATCACGTTTTATTTCTTTTTCAAAAACAGACTACTTCACTTTCGCTTTTCACAAATAGACCATTCGTCCATATAACCCCCCACTCGAACCTATCCACTTACGGAAACGCTGGGGTACTGCCGCCTATACACTTTTCCCATGTGTGAATGGTTCACTCTTGCTATCACTTTATTACAAACACTTGAAACTAATCAATTTTTTTTAAAAAAAAATGTTAAAATGTCACAAAAAAATGTAAGTTAAAAATAAAAAATTTAGAATATCAAAAACATCAAAATAGTTTTAAAAATTAGAACAGGTAAAAGTTTTAGAATAAATACTAGATAAAATAATAAAAATTCAAACAATTTATAAAAGTTTATAAATCGAGAAAATTAAAAAATTAAATTAAAATTTATATAATAAAAATTACTTTACATAATTTTTATATTAAAAAATATATAATAAAATTATAAAAAAAAACAGAAATTAATGTAACTTAAAAGTGTGTAAAATTAAAATAAACTAATACAATTAAAATATATTTTTTTCATCCCTGATACAATTAAAATATGAAAAATTAAAATGATGAACTTGAAAAATATTTACTTGTCAAAAAAATTTAAAAATACGATTTTTCTAATGTGATTGTTCTTAAAGTACCTAAAATTTTAATTATTAGTATTATCAATCTATTGTTAGTTTTTGTTTCTTATCATTTCTTTGTGTTTCTTTTTGTTGATAATTATGAATTTTTTGTTTCTTATTGTTTCTTTATGTTTCATGCTGCTTTTCATATTCATAAATCCAAATTTAACATTTTAAGTGTTTGTATCTAAGTGATTTCGACTAAAACTAAATAGATTTTTCTATTTGAAAGATGCAGAAAAATAAATAGAAATCTAAATAAACAACAAAAATCAGAATCAACAACACACAATTATGAGAAACACAATGCAACAAAAAGTAACAATATACAACAAAAAGCAACACAATGCAACAACATGAAATACATGTGATATAACAACAAGCAACAAAAATAATATACAAGAGTATCACAAAAAATATTCAATTCAATCTAATATTCACAACTTTATTTTTGACATTATATAAACAGATCTGCTGCTCCCTTCTCTCCCTTAAGAGCTTCACCTTTGGCATAGACACCTTCTTAGCAGTTCCCTTCAAAGCTTAAGTGTTCTCATTACCTAACTTCCCAACAGAACCAAATGACTTGGTTTCATCCTCTGCCTCAAATACGTCCTTTTTTGTACAATCTTGTGCTCACATCATACTTCATCGCGTTATCCTGGTAACACAAAAACAATATATCTAGAGGCTGCCCGTGAATATGAATATTCAGACATTTTCAAATTCAGACATTGGTAAAATTGCATCACTTTTACCAATCAAGTGAATTCTTTTCAAACTAAGATCTCCAATTGTCCAACACCTTTCCACATACACCTGCCATTGATTAGTTGAACATGAAATAAAGCTAACCCTTTAAATTCAAGTAATAAACACAATTTTGTTTTAAATATTACAGAAATTGTTGGAGATAACTTGAAACAGAACACAGGGAATCAGTTCTCCAAGATGAGTTAGCTTCTCAAGCTCTGCCAATGACATCTTAAACTAGATGAGCATATTAGAACTACTTATAAAGATAACTTAACATCTAAAAACACCATGTTCTCCAAAAATGTGTCAATAGGGGATCTTAGATGTTGCCTACTGATAGAAAAAAGACCAGTTGGATCACACTTCTACTAAAATTTCATTCCTTGTTGTTGGACTAATGTCCTGGCATCAGCAGTCACTCCAGTAGCAAGAAGTCCTAAATGCTTTGTAATTTTAAACAAATGGATCACACTTGTCTGGTCGAATAGCTTGTTTGACACTTTCTTTTGAGTAACAGCACAAACGAATTACAAGAAGCTCTAAGAGCTTTTGAAGCATTTTATTATGATACAAGCTCTATTGAATATAATATGACTAATAATAATTCAAATGGTCATGAATCAAGGAATTACTAC